AACTGGCGGTCAGTTTCAGCAGCGGCTGAATCTGGACGCCAGTTCCGACTTACATACAGATTCAACTTAAGAACAAACCTACAGTCCCTATCTTGTACGTAACCCGGGGACTGCCTGTAGTTCTTAAAATCATATTTGGCTAATAGAGCTGAGTAGTTTAAAACCCTGAACAGAAGCATTGAGGAGGTGTATGCTTTGCGAACTGGCGGTCAGTTTCAGCAGCGGCTGAATCTGGACGCCAGTTCCGACTTACATACAGATTCAACTTAAGAACAAACCTACAGTCCCTATCTTGTACGTAACCCGGGGACTGCCTGTAGTTCTTAAAATCATATTTGGCTAATAGAGCTGAGTAGTTTAAAACCCTGAACAGAAGCATTGAGGAGGTGTATGCTTTGCGGCAAAAGAGGTCAAGCCTCTTGCTGTCCTTATCAGATGGCATAGTGCAGAAGTGTTGCTGCTTTGCAGATGATATGTGGCTTCCACTACAAAGGAGTTTGGTGTGGCATGGGTAAAGCAGAATTCTGAACCCTTCGCAGGTACATAGTACTTTTTGCCATCTCTCTTGCATGTTGCTGCTAGAGAAGCGGGAGTTTGACGTATCTTATTAGCAGGGTCCAAAATAGCTAGATTGATTGGAAGAGCTATTTTGGCTGATGGTGATGCCTGGAGGATATCTGTGAGCTCATGCTGAAGCTCAGATACTTCCTTCATAGCAATTTTAAGCTCCACTGCTATGCACTTGAAAAGCTCATGAAAGTGCACAAAATCATCCTCTGCAGAAGGCAGCGGGGGCAGTACAGCCTTATCTGGTGAACATGAGGAATTGGTTGGAGGTGAGACATCAGGAGAGGATTCCTCTGGGACCTGAGATTGGTGCACAGATGAAGTTGTGCATAGTGTGTAGAAACTGTCCTGCTTGTAAGGGCTAGGCTGTGTGCTATAATTCCTTCTGTAGGAGCTCCATGGGTTCCAATATGGTCATTGGGCTGGATGTGGTGTGGTATGGGGGGGGCATCCAAGGATGTCCATAGCAGGGGGGAACTTGTGATCATAGCGTGACTTGTAAAATGCAGCAGAGGACTGCAGTGCAGGGAGAAGGAGGCTTGCATGCCCTCATCGTCACTGGAAAAGCATGACAGTGCTGGTGATAAAACCTGCAACGGTGTGAGCATGGGCAAGACATTGGTGTCAAAGAGCAGCAACTGAGGAGCTGATGTTACAGCCAGGTCTGCATGCTGCATATATGGCAGTGGTGCTGCAAGGGTTGGTGCCATCGTCTCCAGAGTTGGCAAGTATGGTACCAATGGAGTGTTTGGTGCAGAAGGCAGGGAGCATTTATAAGTTGGTGGCACAAGGTATGATCAGCGCTAACATCTTGGTCAGTGCCTTCAAGTTAATGGGTGCTGTCGGCCTCATGAGTATCATCGACTTCGTCGGTGCCTGTTGCAGTGCCAATGTTGGTACCTTTGTGGTCACTGGTGCTGAGATCTTTGACAGTGCCAATTTGGCTCGAGGCCTAGACCCTTTGGGATTGGTATGGGAGTTGGCAGCTGGTGCCATAGTGCCTGAGGTACCAAGGCATCATAGGTGCTGATGTATGAAAACCTCTGTGCTGTTGGTCTTGGGGGGAACTGTTTCTTAGCAGAAAAGTCTCTGTGAGACACTGAGGAACTCCTCTTTTTTTGGCACCTACTTGCCATGAGGAGAACCTGGGAGTGATCATACTGCCCTAGTTTTTGATCCCAGGTCAGAAGCAGGGTGGAGATTCTTTTCCAAATTAATCATTGTCAGAGGAAGATATCTATCTGTCCCTGAGAGCTCTGGCCCTAGCCTTGCACGGTGAGGGCAGTCCTGAGGTGAGTGATCTTTACCAAAGCATCTGATGCATCGAGGCTGTCCATCAGAAACTGGCATCACCTCTCTGCAGGAAATTCAGCACTTGAAACATGGAGAACCAGGCATTGTGATAAAAGAAAAAGGGTTTTGTTTTGTTTTTAAACTAACTAACTTACTAAGACTAACAACAACTGTCTAACAAAACTAGCTAACAAACACTATCAAGATGTTGAAAACGTCTGAAGAATGCAGAGCTCCATCTCAGGCCAGGGATAGTTGAGAAGGAACTGGAGGGCTTGGGTTGCACATGTGTGGTTCCAACCAGCACGGGTTGTGCTGTCGGCACTGCACACGCATGGCCTGTGCAGGGACTGCTTCAAAATCTCCAATCCAGGCACCGGGACAGCGCTGAGACCAGACATGAAGTATCCACAGAGACATCTTTTGAAGAAGAATTGAGAGTTATGTGAAAAAGTACTTTCTTATGTGTGTTTTAAACCCGCTCCCTATTAATTTCACTGGGATTCTTAGTTACACTTTATTCCCTTTTTCCACAGCATTCATGATTTTATTGACCTCTGTCATATTCCCCTTCATTGTCTCTTGTCTAAGATGAGTGGACCTAGTCATTTTAATTTATCCTCATATGGAAGCTGTTTAATATCCATAATAATTTTTGTTATCCTTCTCTATACTTTTTCCAATTCTAATATATCTTTTTGAGATGGGGTGACCAGAACTGCATGCACAATTCATGGTCTGAATATACCTGGTGGACAGGTAAATAGACAAGTGCACAAAGAGATGTGAGAAACAGTGCCATGAGACATACACAGGGAGAACCAGTTTTGACCCATTGGACCATTACTGTGAGATTTTCAATACCTAGTAACAGCTGTAGGTGGCACCCTATCCCTACGACTAGTACCTCATACTAACAAACAGGCAGTAGGTAATGCGAAGTGCTGTATTTTGTAGAATTGGGTAGGATTGGAGGCAGGGATGTAAAAATTTGCTTTAAAATGTTAACCATGTAACCATTAAGAATCATAGCAGATAAGTTACACGTTCTGTGGGCTCTAATACTGCAGAGCCCACAGCGAAGCCTCCCCAAGAGCAAGGCCAGCAAAGGCTACTGCCAGCCCCGCTCCCAGGAAGGCTTCACTGCTGGCTCTGGAGGAGGGAGCCAGCATAAAGCCTGAAGTGGGGGCCTGGCTGGGCCTGCCATGAACAGAGGCTGCTCTAGCGAGCCCTGCATTGCTGGAACAGCCCCCTGGCTGGGGCAGGCCGGGGACTGCTCTAGTGTCTACCAGTGAGGCTTACCAGTTAACTATTTATATCCCTTGTTGGGGGGTAGTTCTCCATGCTGGTCCTTCTTAGCCTGTAAGGCTGATCAGAGACACCTCTTCTCCCCCGCTCTGAACATATGTTTTTCTTTATCAGCTTTTCTTAAAGCTAGCCCCACAGTCTCTACAGTCCCAGGACAGCAGAAGCCTGTGTCTGCTTCAGAGGCATTACATTCAGCCCTATAATGGAGAGGAAGTACCTGGTTTCACTTAATAATGGAGCTAATTAAAGGGTATTATGAACAGGCTTAGAAGGGAGTTGGTCACACATCATGTTGTGCTGTTCTGTGGCCATATTCAACTGGCAGTTGTGCCCTGCTGTAAAGCTTTGTCACTGTACCTGGTATGTCCAGTTCTTCCTAACGGGTGAGCACCTTGGCAACTCGAGCCCTCGTTTTGCTTATTTTGGAATTTCCTTTCCTTTGAGATCTCATTGTTTGTGTCCTACTTTAACAGTTGACATCTGCACTTAGCAAGGTAACAAGCCCCACATTTCAATGTTGTTTATTATTTCAGAGTGAATCTGTGTGGATAGAGAATGAGACGGAGAATACCTTATTGCCCTTATATAAATCCATGGTACGCCCACATCTGGAATACTGCAAACAGATGTGGTCGTCTCATCTCAAAAAAGATATACTGGCATTAGAAAAAGTTCAGAGAAGAGCAACTAAAATGATTAGGGATTTTGAACATGTCCCATATGAGGAGAGATTAAAGAGAATAGGATTTTTCAGCTTGGAAAAGAGGAGACTAAGGCGGGATATGACAGAGCTATATAAAATCATGAGTGGTGTGGAGAAAGTGAATAAGGAAAAGTTATTTACTTGTTCCCATAATATAAGAACTAGGGGCCAGCAAATGAAACTAATGGAGAGCAGGTTTAAAACAAACAAAAAAAGTTTTCCTTCACACAGTGCATAGTCAATCTGTGGAACTCCTTGCCTGAAGAGGTTATGAAGGCTAGGACTATAACAGGGTTTAAAAGAGAACTAGATAAATTCATGGAGGTTAAGTCCATAAATGGCTATTAGCCAGGAGGGGGAAGGAATGGTGTCCCCAGCCTCTGTTTGTTAGAGGGTGGAGATGGATGGCAGGAGAGAGATCGCTTGATCAGTACCTGTTCAGTTCATTCTCTCTGGGACATCTGGTATTGGCTGCTGTCGGCAGACAGGGTACTGAGCTTGATGGACCTTTGGTCTGACCCAGTATGGCCGTTCTTATATATGGCTCTTACAGCCTTAGAGCAGGGTGAAAGATAAGAAAGAATTCAGAAAGGAAGATGTCATGCTGCTGGCTCAGGATCATCAATTAGTTATTTAGGATTAGGTGTCTTGTTTAAAGATGATTAATTATCAAATATAAGTACACAATAGCTATGATTTATAGACCATAGACCTTTAAATTTAAACATAATTTAAAACCTAGCTTTTTAAAATGTCTTTAGCTCTCATAATCACAGCCCATCTTTAGGTCAGTTTGATTAATCTTAACTATTCTTTTATGGTTACAGATGCCAATGATGAACAAGGTTTTGGATCAACTGTTACAGCAGCTATTATCGGAATTGTAGTTCCTTTTGGTAAGCAGGTTTGATTTAAGCTTAGATTGAGACTACCCTGACAACTTTTTGTAAAAAACATTTCTGGGGCACAGAGAACTATTGCTATACTATACTGCATGTCTGCCCACAGGAAGAAAGGTATAGGAGCAGATGTCCATATGGGAACATGTTTGCCTTCCCCAAATAGCCAGATGACAGTTTTTTCTCCTCCTTCTCTTCAGTGGTCATTGGTTTGCTGTGTATGGGAGGGTACCTCATCTGGAGGAACTGGAAACGAAAGAACACTAAAAGCATGAATTTTGATAACCCTGTGTACAGAAAGACAACAGAAGAGGAGGATGAAGATGAAATCCATATTGCAAGAACTGCACAAATTGGGCATGTCTACCCAGCAGTAAGTATCTCTGAGCTAGTTACCACAGGAAAAGTCTTTTCTTAAGAAAGTTTGGCTACATAATTATCTCAGCTGATCATGAGGTTGGTTGCAGTTACGTGGCATCAGACAGTAAGTACATTCAAATAAGGAGTTTGTAAGATTTTTGCCTGTGAAATTGCTCTTAGACTTGTACGTGGATCATATTGCTATATCTTTGGAACATATATGAGGTTAGATCAACTGTCCATTTAGTCAGGTACAGTCTCTGATGGCATTGCGCGCTTAAATCCCTTCAAGGCATCCCACTGAGAGAGAAATGCACGTCTCGTCGGTACTTCTGACAGGTCCCTCATTGTAATGATAAATACTAAACATGAAAGAAAAATGAACAGGCTGTCCTACACATGAGTTTTTCCAAAAATAGGGGCAATGAGTATTCCTAAATGTTAGGCTGTAACCTGGTGGGCAGGTTTTTCTCCTGATGCAGCTTGCAGTCATTCTTATGTCTTGCTGTTTTCCATCCACTGCCTTTTCCTACCAACAAGTCCACAGTGTTTTTCTACTTATATAATCAGAGGTAAATCACTAAAAAGTGAAATGCCCCACAGTGAATGAATGAGGAGTCAAAGAAAGCTGCCTTAGCAAGATGAGGCATAAAGATGGGATGGAGGAGTAATGCTTTTCTACTCTGCTCTAACTGAACATAATGAGTCTGATCTAGCTGATCTTAATGGGACTTACTGATAAAGACACCATAACCCATTCAGAATGGCTTCTTCAAGGTAGCATCCCTTCCAGAAACAAGTGGCTTGAATGAAGTATAGCAACAGTAACTGGAGTTAGGAATGGGAGGACAAAGAGAAGGGAGTGAATATGGGAGTAAAACCTCTGTAGGTATGAGGAAGGGCACTATCTCAGTATCACAGAATGAGTAATAACAGCAGTGCTTACACTCCTGTCATACCTCTCATCCAAAGATTTTAATGAGCATCACAGACATCAGTGAACGTGGCCTACCACTACATCTTTAGTGCAAGGAAACTGCTTATCCCCACTTTGCGGTTGGGATATTAAATGCATGACATTAACTAATAAATACTACTCAATGTAGGAGTTACTCCATTGAATTCATAATGAGTAAGGTATCAAGTCTAAAGAGATCAAATGATTCTTTGTTACTCAGGCATTTACCAGTGTTTTCTTTGTTCCACAGCGTGTAGCATTGAGCCTGGAAGATGATGGGTTACCATGAGGACCAAGTTGCCACTATAGTCCCATACCTGATGGAATAATATGCACTGAGCAGATTCACTTTGGATCATGGAACTCCCCTTCCTTTTCTTCCCTCAATGAATTTATGTTGCAGAAGGGTAACTACAAAGTTATAATGAACTGCAAACATCCAAAGGATGTGAGAGTTTTGTATGTATAATCTTTTATACACATTTTAACTTGTTGCACTACCCATATGTGATAGTGAAGAGGCTACTGCTGAGCTACTAACTCAGTATACATAATTAGCTGGGTTCAATGGCTACGCATCATTTTTAAACTATATTTATAGAGGTTTTGTAAATAGGTTGAACTTGCTTTGTGGCTCTCCATCAACATAAGTAAAAAAAATCTATACAAGCAGTTTAGAATATTTATTAATAAAATTGAGATATAAGATTTGTTCTGTAAATATATTAGAGGGGTGAGAGTATTTATTTTTTGTATGTTTGGCTTGCTGTGCATATATCTATCTAGACTAGATAGATATATAGACATAAATATATATATATACATATATATATATATGCACATACATATAAGTATATTTTAAACTATTAGCCCAAGTCTATGGGAATTAGGGGGATTGAATTCTTAAGGAATGTTTATGGAAAAATTGCTTTGAACTCTAAAGCCACTGGAGTAAGAAACAGCTGTACAACAGAACAGTCAGTGGTTCTGTAAAATTAATGAAGCACTCCCATAATGAACTTTTTCTGTCAAAATATGTTGTGGTTTACGTTGCATTTCAAGCCCAGATGAATGTCCTGGCCCAGGAGTTAAGCGCTAACATACTTGATTTCCTTTAAAAAAAAAAAAAAAAAAAAAGTCACACCGTAAATGTCCTCATACACTATGGGTACGTCTACACTAACCCCCTAGTTCGAACTAGGGAGGCTAATGAGGGCGATCAAAATTGCTAATGAAGCACGGGATGTAAATATCCCACGCTTCATTAGCATATTCCTGGCTGGTCGCCAGCTGGAAACTGACTAGCCCGAAGTAACTGACCGCGTGGCAGAAAAACGGAATTCCAAGATAGACCCCTTACTTCGAATTAACTGTTAAACTTCTTTCCACGAGGTTTAACAGTTAATTCGAACTAAGGGGCTAGTTTGAACTAGGGGGCTAGTGTAGACGTACCCTAAGTGAGGAGAAGTTACTGCATCTCACACATAAGAAACTCCTATAGGTTTCAACATGACTTTATACCATATCAAAAATTTATCTCTATGGGGGTGTTTGATACCTAAACCTGTCTTTTTTGGGGGGGGGGGGGTCCCATGAGAATCTTGTTTAGTACTCATAAAAGTGATGATTTACTGGTAGTTCTATATCATCCTTCTGAAGCTAGCTCATTGTAAAATCTTTCCTTTATCCTTTTATGGCTGTACTGCTACCAATCATTAACACTGCTGAAATGAATGAAGTGTTAGGAAACAAAATACCAGTTTGACCTGGAATATACAGCTCTGGGTAGGATGGCTAAAAAGGCCATTGGGGAAAAAAAATACCCCAAACCACCTTATACAGCAGTGATCCCCAAACTGAGGGAGTGTGGCAAAACCCACACCAGGTCCTACAGGGACTATGGAGGGAACATCACCCAGACCCACTCTGCCCCCAGCTTCACACCTGGCCCCAACTCCCAACTGCACTAATGGGAGGTGCAGACCAATTGCGGGGAGGAGAGACAAAAGTTTGGGGACCAATTCCCTAGAAGGCCTTTCACTCACCTGATCCTAAAGCTGAGCAACTATGAGAACAGTCCTCAATAACCTTTCCAATTCCAATATTCTTTCCAATGGGAACAGTGGTGGGTGTGGCAGACATTACTGTCTCTGGCAGAATCTTGTGACAGCTGTGAAACTAATGTGTCACTATTTCTATAGCATTAGGAAGTATCAAGGAAATCTTAAATTCTACTGGGCCACAGAATCAATTCTTCAGCAGAAGCAGCCCTTTCTTCTAAACTCAGTCTGGCTCATGGTGCACCAATATCCCGCAGACATGATAAGGAACATATGGTAGGGAACATGGTAAGCAGTTCCTATCCCAAATATCTGGTAGAGGGCACTGAGTGATGCAAAGCATCACTGTTCATTGTGGAAATCATTACCTTCATTACAATCCTGCACTACTTCTTGCTCCTGGGAACAAAATTCATAGTTTCTCACATGGCATAGGAGCACTCATCTTATGTGAATCAGATGCCAAAGCCCAAGTGGTTTATCTACTTTGCGCAGTCTTCTGAAGTCACTATCCCATATATGCACCTGTGTAACATACAGCATAAATTTCCAGGGATATCTTTTTTCAATATCCATATGCTCCAACTCCAGCAGTGAATAAAGGATCCAGTTCTGTTTGTTAGATACAAAGCACTCACTGTTCCAAGGGCCTTATTCAAAAATCTATTAGAATCAATGGAAGACCTTTTTCACTGGCTTTAAATTAGGCCTCACTGACTTTAGTGGGAGAGGAGGGGGTTCAACCTCTGACAAGGAGTATTCAATACCTCTGTGGTTTTGGTCCTAAATCCAACACTGTACAATAGGTTGTAGAGTAACCTGTGTTGCTTTTATATGTGAATTGAAGTTTGTGAAAGATCCAAACACTATCTGAAGATGCCTGTATGATGGGGAGGGGAGAGGGAATCACAGTTTAATGTGGGATTAAAGTGTTGGTACATGAATTAAGTCTAGGAAGACAATACTACAGTATGCATTATGGAAACACTATGGACCCCAAACTTTTTGTACAAAAGGTCTATGAAGTTTAAGTTGTCCTTAACCTTCAATTCTAAAAATCTAAAGGAGGTGGCTTGATTACTTAAAGATCATTTAGGGAGGTGGAGAAATGTGATTCTCAGATTTCCAATTATTATTTTAAACCACAAAGCTCTTCTACTAGAAGTCCATGCACTATGTGTATGAAGGAAAGAACAAAAACTTGAGCTGTATGTGTGGTAACACTAACAGCAAACTGTACATATGGTTGAAGGCTCTACATTTTGATACTTTTTTTAAAAAAAATAAAAAACTGTACAAGTCGTGTGTATAATCAGCAATTTTTTCAAACCATTTTAAATGACGATGTCTGGTGCTGGTTTCAAACTTTACAGCTTTCTAACTAATCAAATGAAGTCAGCCACCAAATTCGGTTTTTTTTTTTACATACATTATTTTAAACGACAGGTGGAATTGTTAGGACACTGTTTAATACTGTAACCGGTTCTGATCTCTGTCTTGTCATAATGAATTTCTGTTGAAATGAGTTCTTGCTTGGTGCCTTTTGTGTTTCAGTTTTCATTGTATGGACAAAAGAACTGAGGGGGGAGGAGGGAATTTGTTCTGTATATCATTTGCTGTACTTACATAAAAAGGAGTACTGAAAACCAAATGAATACATTTGTAAAAAAAGTGCACTGTTTCTATAGAACAATTAAATTTTTTTATCTGAGTTTTCTGATGTGTTCTGTTCTGTTATAGCACATCAATGCTTTTTTTCCACAGACTACATTTAAGGGATCCACAAAGGTTTTCGTTGCCATAGAACAGTAGATTTCAACCTGTCATCTGTGGACCCCTGGGGATCCATAGACAAGATTTTGAAAGAGATGTGTCTACACACGCGCACGTGCTGCTCTACATTCTAGTCTCTTTATGGTCCCTATCAGTCTACATTTAACATCCTGCAGTTTTTCCAATCTAGAACTTTGCAGCCTCAATCCTAGATGCTACCTAACTTCTATGTACAAATGAAGGGATACTCAATGGACAATTCTGAAGTCCCCTTCCTGCACTCATACGGTTTTACCAAATTACACAGAAAATGCCACCTGTTTTAGTTATGCTTGCATTACATAAAGTTTTATATAGGTGACAGAACTAAAATGCGTCTGATTTGAGGTCAATATAACCATGACAGCCTGCTGCAAACAAATATATTAGGGTTTACCATTACAAATGCTACATTTTGTCTCTGTCCTGTAAATCTGTGATGTTTTTGGGAGGCATATGGTGCATTTGCTTGCCATACTGCATAAGCGTTTGTTATTTAAGCTAAGCCATTTAAAGAGTGCCCAGATAGTCCTGTGATGGATATTTTGTTACACTCATCACTTTATTAACAATAGCTTTTCACAAACCCAAAACAAAATTAGAGCTGGTTGTCCCGATGGGTGCTCCACCTTAGATGTTTTCAGCACCACTGCGCTGTAGTCGGAGATTTAAGACAGGAGTGCCGTCAGTTGGCTGCACACACAGATAGCCGGCATGCGCCACTCATAACGGCTACTGCACGTATACAGCCAACCAACCCCTCAGTTCCTACTCTGCCCAGAAATAGAGGTGTTCCAGAACAGATGATGGAAGGATGGGTGGTGGAGCACCCACAGAGACAACCATCTCAAAGAACCTCAGTTACTGCACAAGGTGAGTAACTCTCTCTTCCTCAAGAAGTGTCCCTGTCGGTGCTCTTGCCTGGTGGAGGGAGGTCCTGTAAGTCTGTATGGACCATGGACAATGCAGTATGTCTGAACCTTGTAGTCATAGCTTAATATGGTGTAATGTAAATGTATGAGCCGAAGCCCACGTAGTGGCTCTGCAAATTTCTCTGATAGGTACATTTTTGAGAAATGCAATGGAAGCTGCCATTGCTCTAGTAGAATGTGTCCTTATGCCTGCTAGGGGGTCATGGTTAAGTAGAGTATGAGAGGCGGATACAATCCATTACCCATTTGGATAATCTTTGTTTGAAGATGGGTGTATCCTGTGATCTCTCTGAAACAGTTATAAAGAGACTGGTAGCCTTCCTTAATGTTTTCTCCTTTGTAAGTAGAAGGCTAACACCCTGCTGATGTCCAGTGTGTGAAGCATGGTTTCCTTGTTGTCAGAGCAAGGCTTGGGGAAGAAGACCGGTACGTATACGGACCTGTTGTAGTGAAACAAGGTAGGTATCTTGGAAGGAATTTAGGGTGTGGGCAGAGGATGACCTTGTCCTTGTGGAATATGGTATAAGGATGATAGTTATCAGGGCTCCCAGTTTACCCACTCTGCGTGCCGAAGTAATGGCTACTAAGAATGCCACTTTTATGGATAAATGTAACAAGGTGCATGTGGCCAGGGGAAGGGCTTCCCCATTAGTGCTCTTAGTATGAAGTTTAGGTTCCATGCTGAAATTGGAGTCGTGGTCAGAGGGGGTACGTGTTTTGTAGCACCCTTACAAAGTGTTTAATTGTGAGATGTGCAAATATAGAGAATTGATTAATTGTGGAGTACAGTGCTGTAATCACAGTGAGATGCACTCTTAGGGTATGTCTTCACTACAGCGTTATTTCGAAATATCTTAATCTTATTTTGAAATAGTTAATTCAAAATAAGTTATTTCAAAATAATGCGTCTACACACAAAATGCATTTTGAAATAGCGCGTCCACACTGAGTGGACACTGAATTGCATTTAACGCTGGCCAGAACCAGGTCCAGCAGAGCATCAGGTCAGGAGTTACTTTGTGTGGCTGCTGCCTGAGGCTATCTGAGGCCTGTGCTTAAAGGGAACCCCTCCCCTCCCCCCCCAGACAGTCGGTTCTCAGCTTTCTCTGCTTGCTTGCCTACCTCGATGAGGGACAGCAAAGCATTTTATCTCTGCATGCTCTGGTTGCCCTCACTCGGGACACCACAACACTCTGCAACATGGAGCCAGAGCTGCCCTGGGCACTCTGGTGTTTCTCGTGGACACGTTGCTGCGAGCCTGGCTGCACTTGCTGCAGACTGCCATCTGGGAGGTCCATCGGGGAGCTGTCAGTATCCAGGAGGCCCTGCGGGAGAACTTCCATCTTGAGGTGCACTAAGAGCCTCCCTAGTCTGCCCCACTGGGACCTTCTGCCTCATTCCTCCCTCACATCCTTCCACTTACCCCTCCCTAACCCCCCAATTCGAACTACCTACTCTGTGCCGTGTGTAGCCACGGGCACAGAGTTCGGACTAAGGGACATTTAAAAATGGCGGTGCCCGGGAAGATGCAAATGAAGCCCGGGATATTTATATCCCAGGCTTCATTTGCAACTTCGAATGCCTATATTATCCTCCCTAGTTCGAACTAGGGGGCTAGTGTAGACATACCCTGAGTTAGGAGCAGTGACTGCTGGCTCTGGGCTGGCAGGCTTGGAGCTGGCACAGGCACTGTGGCCAGAGTCAACCCCTTTAAGGGCTCTGGGGGTAGGGGAGGGAGAGGAGTGTTCTTAGTTGAGGCCGGAGTGGCCACCAAGGCACCCTGGGAAGGCTGGAGGCCCCCTATTTCGATATAAGTGTCTACACATTACTTATTTCGAAATAGCTATTTCAAATTGGGTGTTTTTCCTTGTGGAATGAGGTTTACCAAATTCGAAATAAGCGCTCTGCTATTTCGAATTCATTTCAAAATAGCGGTTTGGCTGTGTAGATGCTAGGAAAGTTATTTTGAAATAACGGCTGTTATTTTGAAATAACTTTGCTGTGTAGACATACCTTTATAGAGCTGAGGGAGAGCCCTGACTGCTTGAGAGATAACAGATATTGTAAAATTTCCGGAAGACCTGCTATCAAAGGCGAGAAATTATATGACTCTCACCAGAAAAGGAATCTGTGCCAATTATGAATGTATATCTTGTAGATGGCCTCTGAGAATTTAAGAGGATCTCTTGTATGACATCCAAACACCTTGATTCAAGAGGAGTCAGCCAGTGATGAGCCATGCTTGTAGGTGAAGGTTCTGGATATTGGGACTCAGTGTCAGCCCCAGTGCCATTTGTGGCATGGGCTTGACTGACTGAGCCGACCTTTTGCTCAGCACCGCTGGTGCCACATGCTTGGCTTGAGCCTGTGTGAAATGCTTGGTCTGCGGAGGCAGTGCTAACCACTTACTCTGCACTGAAGGTGCAGTTGGTGGAAGTATTGCGCTCAGTGCTGCTGCTGAGCACTGGTCTGTCGGTACCCTGGATGATTTTTTTGGAGCTGACCAAGTTGACTTCAGCTTGAAATGTGCTGAGGTCTTAGAGCTAGATTGTGTTTGGTCTTTTGCCCCTCAGGTAGTCTCGGTGCTGGACGTACCCAGAACCTTGATATCTGGTGCCTTTGTGTGCCGCCGGTGCCGAGGTTGATTTCTTCAAATGTGAGCACTTTTTCTCAGGAGACTCGCCCCTAGTGGATGAATGAAAGCGCTTTTTGCCTTGATCAGCCATATTATCTGAGGGTCTCACCCCTGAAAGATCTGACTTCTCAAAGCTTGCAATGGATGAAGTTCTCTAGTCTTTCTGGTTCTCACAGTCAATTTCTTGTACTGAGGGCACTTGTCTGTTGAGTGACCCAGCCCTTGCCACCGCACACCCTGAGAGTGGCTGTCGGATATGGGTATCGACAATCTACATGTCAGACACTGCTTAAAGCCTGGTGAACCAGGCATGTCCCTAGACCACATTAAAAAAGAAAAACGGTTCTCGAACTATTTAAGAACTCTCTTTTAAAACAATTGTAACACTAACTATTTAACTGTAAGCGCTAAATAACTAATTATTGAACTAGTTATCCTATAAATTTGAATATTTTCCAAAAAGTGTGCAGGGCAACTGCAGGTTCTAACTATGGCCAATGGTGGCAGAGAAGGAACTGAGGGGTCAGGTGGCTGTGCACGTGCAGTAACCATTACGAGTGATGCATGCTGGCCTCCCACATGTGCAGCCAACTGAGGGTAGCGCTGTCTTAAATCTCTAGACGAAAACATCTTAGGTGAAGAATCAAACTTCAAAAATAACTGTTACACTATCTGGCAATCTTGGATCATATCTTATGATTTTCCACATTACATGCCTAGTCTGGAGCAAAATCTGTAATAATCACTGCTATTCGTGAATTCTAAAAGCATTACTTCTCTGCCAAGTTCGACTAATACATGACAGATTCAATCGGGAGGAAAAAATCCCACAAATAGTGCAAGGTTAAAGTCAATAATGCACAAAAACTAGGGATAATCAAAGATTTTTCCATATACATTTGTAACAGAAAATTAGGTTTTGACTAAACAATTTTTTTCCACTAATGGTATCTGCACTCCATGGAAATTTTTATTTTTATTAAAACACAGGATGCCCGGAAATTGATATTTTGGTTTTGAATTTTTTTTAAATTGAATGTTTTCACTGAGAGAAGAAGCCTTGTTCAACTAGCTCTTAACTAGAATCATAGAATTAGAAGGGTACATGAGAGGTCATCAAGTGCAGTCCCCTGCCCTAATGGTAGGACCAAGCACTATCTAGATCATCCCCGATAGATGTCTATCTAACCTTATCTTAAATATCACCAGATAGAGATTCCACAACCTCCCTAGGCAATTTATTCCAGTGTTTAACCACCCTGACAGTTAGGAACTTTTTCCTAGAGTCCAACCTAATCTCCCTTGCTGCAATGTAAACCTGTTGCTTCTTATCCTAATGTTCCAGTTCTAGGAATCCATGAGCTACCCAGAGGCTAACCTAAGTGTTAGTGTCTAGTCTACAGGAGCACTGTCAGAGACTGTCGGCATGCAGCAGAACCAAATCTCTCCAACGGGGCTTGAATGATCTCACATATGCTGGAGAGATGTTAGAACCACGTGCTGACAGAGAACTGGGGGTGGTAATTTACAGTTTTAGATAGAAATGGTGCCATAAAAAAAATTCCAGTTTTTCCTTACCAGTATTTTGGATCTGTTTCTTGTTCAGCTTTCCAGCTAAAGTGGTTTGGATCCATTTACATAGGGTACATCTACACGTCAAGTGAGATGCTATACTTCCCAGCTTGAGGAAACATATTCACTCTGATCTGTTCTGATCAACTGAGTGAGCTAAAGTCACAGAAGGGAGGGACCAGGCATGCAAAGTCCATGGCTAGAGTTTGACAGAATCATACTTGGGGTTGCTGTGGCCACACTAGCCTGTAAGTTCTATCAGAACTTGTGCAGATATGTTTCCTCAAGATGGAAATTACAGCCTCAGTGTAGTTAGTTTAAAAAAAAAGGGCAAATGAGTGTTGAAATAGATGTTGTGTTTATTAGGAGAAATTGCTCAATACCCTACAAACCCCATCTGAAG